AATAGTAGCATTGGCTCTAAGGCTTTCATTTCATCCAAAAGGAATACAGTTCAATTATAAATTGATGAGTGAGCCCCTTTTTCTTGACTTCCAAAGTAACATAAGTTTTTTATTGAATGTAATTACAAAGATCTTTGAGAGTTTTTCAAACTATATATAGATTGTTGTCATCAAAAAATTGTGAAAATTTGTTTAAAATCTTCATGTATAAATCCTATGTAGCATAAGGATCATTTTCAAAAATAAAACCTATGCTCTTTATTGATAAATTGTTAATTTATGCGAAATGACTATTGAAATATATGTACATTAAGTAATTCTTTAAAAAAATTATAATGTCATATTACTTATTTTATTATTTTATGACTTTTATTGTAACACCCCCCATGAGCAACAACACAAATAGACGGCCCCTAGTCCATAGCGGCCCTGCTATTCCTGGCTACGATGGTGACTAACGGCGGGGCAGGGGGTGCTAAGAATCTCCGGTGGAGGTTTGGATGCCACCTAAAGCGCCTCGACCTGGCAACATACAACGCACGAACCCTGAGGACTGAAGGGAAGATCCTGGACCTGGAAGAACAGATAGACAAGTTAAGCTGGAATATTATAGGATTATCCGAGTGATTCTCGAATCCAGCAACTTGTTCTATCACCGGGAGGGCGACCATCTGTCCCAAGGAGGTGTTTGACTTGTGTTGGCGAAAGCTTCCGCGAAAAGAATCCTAACGGCTGCCAATGACCTGGACCTTCTGCTGCAAGACTGAACCAATAGCGGAGTTGGATGCGTCAGTTACTATGGCCAACGGAGCAGACGAATCTGGATGAGCTAGAAGAGCGGCGTCAGCAATGCTTGCTTTGCAAGCATTAAAGGCGTTTTCTAGGTTAGCAGTCCAGTTAATGTTGCTGTTGCTCTTCACCGATAGACCACTAAGTAGTGCATGTAGAGGAGCCTGAAGCTTGGCAGCATCCTGTATAAAGCGTCTATAAAAGTTTAATGCTCCTATAAACCGCCTATGATCTTTAATAGTTTTAGGTAGGGGAAAGTCAAGAATAGCCTTCACCTTGTCACCAACCGGTTTAGTCCCTTCTGAAGAAACCAGGTAGCTCAAAAACTCCACCTGCGGCACGGCGAATACGCACTTGTTTGTGTTTAATAAAATACCATATTCACTAAAACGCGAAAATACCGCACTTAAATGTTCCTGGTGCTCCACTTCATTATCGGAAGCAACTAATACGTCATCGATGTACGCAAAGCAGAAATCGAGACCCCTGATGACCTCGTCCATGAAACGCTGAAAGGCTTGGGTAGCATTCCTAAGCCCAAAATTCATCAGTGGGAACTCAAATAGTCCGAAGGGTGGTGTACATTCTCAATCGCAACCGGTATCTGATGGTACGCTCGAACTTTTACATTTTACAATTAAATAGATTGTGTTAAAAGTCAGCAATATGGCGTACTGGGTATCGATCTGGTATCGTGCGAGCATTGAGTGCACGGTTATCCCCACAGGGTCGACAACTTTCGCCTTTTTAGGCACTAAATGGAGGGGTGACGACCATGAGCTCTCAGACCTGCGCGCTATACCCGTACGAACCACTTCTTCAAACTCCTGTTTCGCAATTTTAAGACGGTCAGGTGCTAGTCGTCTTGGTCGCGAACATACAGGCGGGCCTGGGGTCGTTCTAATATAATGCTGCGTAGGGTGCTTGATTTTCAGCTCCAAAGGAGCTTCGACCGGCCGCATTATATCAGGATATTCTTGGAGTATCCGATGGAACGATGTATCGCCTGAAATGACCTTTATGTGAGGGCACGGACAAGTAAATGCAATCGAGGCAACTGATGTAAGCGAAGAGCAATTATCAATTAATCGCGAATTACGCACGTCAACAAGTAAGTTATAGAAGGATAGAAAGTCTACACCTATTATCAGCTCATATCAGCTATTATAAAACGCCAAGAAAATGCACGCCTTAAACATAAACTTAACCTTAAACCTCAACCTTAAATCTAAACATAAACTTAACCAACCATATGTAGCAATTACAGTATTATTTGCAGCAAAAAGCTCGAATTAGTTTTGTTGCGACGCTGCATGCGCACTAAGCACAATGGATACACACACAAGTCAGATCCCGTATCGATTAAAAACTGCACTTTACTTTTAGCGTCAATAACAAACAAACGCTTACCGTTCGACTTACACTCATCAGCAGTCGCAGAGAGCGACCGCCCAAATAGTTTTTGAATAAGCACAAGGCTTTATACACTTAGCTGCTTTCTCGTCGTAATTGAAGTGGTACCAGCAGTATTGCTGGCCCTCAGCGCGAGCATGACTTCTCGACTGACTGCGGCGCCGGCTGCTGGATTTCGACCTTCTTTTCGGCAAGTCACGAGGTCTGCTTGGTGTCGACATTTCATCAAGCCTCTTGATCAGTGCATCAATCTTCCGATTTAGGTCTTCGAATGCTGGAGGCGAGCAAGAAGTGGATGTGGTAGCTACTTGTTGTGCTGACATTTGAGGCGTGGCCTCAGCTACTTTATTGGCTAATTGGGCGAGTTGGTCCAGCGGAAGGTTATCTTGCATAGCCACTATAGTTTGTAGCAAGCTGGGTACTCGGCTTGACCATAAGGTACGCAGGAACTAATCTGGGAACCCTGATTCAAGCAACTGCTTAATTTGCTCGCTTCTTGAAGTAGATAGTCCGGCAATTAACTCACGTTTCAGTATGTCGTATTTCTCGTTTGCCGTGGTCTAATTATTAGATCTTCGATTTCCGCAGCAATTTTCGGATCTAACACCGATATAACATGATAATATTTTGTGACATCCGATGTAATATTCGCTAATGCAAATTGGCAATCCAACTGTGCAAGCAAAGCGTCGGTTTCTCGGGCCAAAATGGCGTCACCTTAATACCTACTCGGCAAAGTACCGCTTCACTGCCACTAGTGCTGCTTTTAGTTGCGTTCGTGCCTCTTGCCACATTTTTGATGTTCTTAGTACGCTATGTTCTTCTCGGGGTTACCAGTTGTAGGAGGTTAATGGCTGGGCAATGAAAGCGGCTTCACACTTCCAAGAATATGATGTTTTCTTTACACAAAGACAGTTTGCAATACAGATATTATAGCAACAAACAAGATAAATTAAGACTAAATACAAGTAATTAAACATACAAAAGAATTCAAGGTATGTAAGCCAAAAATAGGTTTTTGCGATTTGAAAGGCAACCGTTACTCCGGCGGCGCAAAGCGTGGAGTCCAACGCTGAGGCCATTTCAATTAAAGTTGTTCAAAACGACTATAAATCAATAGCACGCTACAGACTATAAACTAGAAATTTCTAGCGCGCTATTAAATACGCTACGCTATAGTGCGCTATTTATAAAAAAGTGTGTAGGAGGACGGCAAGCGCGTTAAGTTTTGCAGCACGCTATATCTCGGAGCACGCTACATGTTGTTCATTGGATAGACCGTGTGCTATATAAGAACATTGTTTCGTAATAAGTAGTATTTTAGATTAAAATAAAATAAAGTGGTAAAAAAAAAATCAATGAACGCTCTTTCATAGTTTTCAGGCTTACGACTTTCTAATTTTCTATAATCCTAAAAATATTTTTAAGGCGTGTACTTTTTAAAACAAAATAAAATTAATCATTTTTGTATTATAATTCATATAAACGTTATTTTAACCTTAATATAAATTATAAATCAATTAAAGGTGTATTTAAAAGTTTATTGATTGTATTTATAAAAATCAACGGTTTACAAACACTATTATATACACTTTTGTATCTATATTTTATTTACATTTAAAAACATTAGTTAGGCTTCTTTTGTAGCAGACAACTGTGTCCTTCGATCACTTATAAATATACAGTATACACTAACTAAATAACGTCTAACACTAAATTAGTTCTAGTCTACTCATGGCGACTACTTACCACAGAACACTATCTACTTACATAGCACGCGCTATGCGTTATGAAGAGATAGCGCGCTATAATATGGCGCTATGCACTATATTAGCCACCATTAGTTTCAATCATAGAGTAGAGGTTTCAATGCAGACTGCCGGGAAAAACGGAGACGCCCGGGCTGTCACGAAAGCAACCCGAACGTAGCCGAGCATTCCCGACCGCAACCGACATGAAGCACGAACATCGCGTCAGCGTTTGCGACGTTCAATACATAAACAAAATAAAAAAGTATATGTCACCATACAATTATTAAAATACATAATTGTATATAAATATTTTATTTTATTTGTGTCCTATAGACCGAATTTCGGCTACTAGCCATTTTGACTATGTACAAGCTCAGGTGCACTATTTATTCCCTTACTCTCATAATCCAATGGGATGGCAATCCGACATGACCAGTGAGAAATCAGACCGAGGACCAACAGCTTTCCGAGGCACAGGGGTGAAACACCACCAACCCCACCAACATCTTACTTCCGGACTGCTTTTGAGAATTTCTTGACAGTTTAACTCAACTATTTTTTGTCCCAAACCGGAATTCAAAAAACTTTTTATCCCATATTATTTACATCATATCTGGATAAAGAACGCTCAGCTGCAGTCCATAATTTGTGTTTCTCTAGATAAGGCTGGCTAAAATTAATTTATACGGGAAAGTTTTGATGTACTCTTATTAGTTTGTGGTTTTGATCGAATAGTCTAATAGCAATTTATTCTGATAAATCATCACTCGGCTTTTCCCATCTCTAATGTCAAATGACATAATGAGCATATGACTTTTAAGCTTCTAACTTGTTTTATTTTTTACGTTTCTCTTTCTCATACGATGATTATTTTCGTTTTCAGTCTTCAATTATTTTCAAGTATGTAATAGTGTTCTGTGATTATTTTCGTTTAGCCCACAAGCATAGTGGCGATACTTTTTGAAGCCTACTAAAGTTTATTTTGGGAGATCAAATAAACCACAGTATTATTTTTCTTATAAAACATGATACAACATTCATCAAGGAATGTCTAGAATAAGAGGAATTGATGCCAAAGTGCAAAAAAATGTGTTACAAAGTCAACAAAAGCGTAAAAACGCATGTAATGAGGCAGCAAAATTATTTAAAAATGAAGAGGATGCTTGTAGTAAAGAGGATACAGAAAGCAAGTACTTTATTAATACTGTTTTATAAAAATAGATAACTTTAAGGGCTCTACTGCACAAAACATACAATCGATTTGAAGTTTCTTTTAAACCTTTATGGAGGAATAGATTTTATTTTGTTAGTATAGTCCGGAAATATTCTATTGTGTATATTCATTTCTTTTCAACTATTAATCTTAGAAAATATTTCGTACTTTCATGAAATTAAGTACTTTTTTTTAATTAAATCACCCTTGTGGTGTTTGTTTTAATGTGAACCTTAACAATTTACAAAAATGTTTTATGTACTTGCCATTACAAGCAATTTAAATACCACTGCTGAACGTAGGCCTCCCCCATAGATTGCCTCAACTATTTCACGATTACTCATGAATGAGTAACTCATGAATACAATGAAATGTAACTAGAGAGGCTATTTGTATTATTATATTAGTGCTTATTTCAAAATAATAGAAATCTTACAAAACAATTTCCCTGATTCTTGAAATTCATTTGCAATTTTAGATACTTGCTTTTTCTGCAACTTTAAACATGCAGTTTACTGATTTAGGTATATCTTGATATTTATTAATATGGAACAAAAATGGGTCAGCTTGACTGAAGATGGACCACATTCTTAAAGAGTACTAGTGTAAAATAGCACCTTAATGCTATAGTATTTTGTATGGTTAGTGTAGAAAACCTGACACCTTTTTACTGCTAATGAGGCATTTTATCTTAGTCCTGAGTAATGAAAGTTTTTGTGTGAATATAATTTATCTTTTAACGTAAATAATTTCAAGTAATATATATTGAAATAATGTTGATTTTCACACTGCCAACATTTGCTTGATATGTTTTGTTTTTGTTATTAAAATACAATAGTCTTTCTGTAATAAAGTAAAAAACCTGACTTTTATATAGAGAATTTCGTATAGATTTTATAATGCCAAACTTCTTCATAGAAAATTAGTCTCTAAATATAAGATTTTAAACAGATTAAATCTTATTGTTACGAGGGTTCAGGACAATAAAAACTGCCAATCAAATTACCAAAATTGACACTTTAATTACCGAACACCAATTAAAACTAATACACACTAATAATTAATCACACTTAACACTTAAGTTCACTTTATTTTGCTCATAAGTCTTCACTTGTATTGCCAATTCAATATCCCCGGACGAGGCCCGGGACGGCTTTATTTAGGCCTTTTCCATCGAAACATCTAGAACGTTCCAGCAAATACCAATCCCAACCGACTAGGTGTAGAAAATTCAAGTGTGGGGTTATCTAGAAAACTTAGTTCTTCTATTCGATAATAGATGGCACTAGTGTCATGTACCAGACATCAACTGTGGTACGCAACACTGCCCCCTCCTAAGACATGCTCGTCCCTAACATTATTGGCCCCATAATAACGCGCCAGTTGATCCACATAAACGATCTTAGGAGTACCTCTTGCACCCTTCTGAAACGGCTCCGCAATGTCAAGGGCTGTCTCTCCCATGGTGCACCAACATTGTACAATCACAATGCACCTCTACTACGAGTCTGAGGTTCCTTCACTGCCGTACAACTTGTACATATGTGACACTAATCCTCGACATTGTCACGAGAATGGACCCAGTAAAACCATTCTCGGATCTTCAGTAGAGTTCGTTTAACTCCCAGATGGACTCCTGAACAACCATTATGGTACAGCTGTAGAACATTCGGCACTTTAGCTTTAGGGACAACCATTTGCAAACGACAGCTGTCTCCTCGACCATTTCCCCATTTAGGACTCCATCCTGAACAGCAAGCTGTCCCATTGGGCCCAATAGCTTTTAGTGGTTGAACTCATCGCTGACGCATCGCTCCACTTGGGCTTGGGAGCACTGGCCTTCATCCATTCCAGAATCGGCTGGATGTCCAGATTTTCCTGCTGTGTATGTTGTAAGCTGTCCTTCCACTCGTTGCTGAGGTGGTCTGTCCTGAGTATCCCCACAGGTACCACTTCCTTACCCTCTTGCCTAGTACTGTTATCACAATAATCAGGATAAGGACTACTTGACAATGCATCTGCAATTGCCATGAGATTTCCCGCTTCGATGGTCGATTACAAAGTCGTATTCTTTCTGTTGCTGGGCGGTGCTATTAGCCACACTACCCTCTCGAAATCGCTCACTTTCCTTTAATACAGTTCGCTTACGGCAGTTGGATCGAAGATGGCCCCTTTCTCCACAGCCGTAGCACCTTGGGCGGTACTTTGTACTGTAGCAACCTCCCTAACGTAAGGGGAACGATGATCCTGGCGCTGCTGGGTGGTGCCATTAGCCGCACTACCCCCTCGAGATCGATCACCTTCCCTTTCTACAGTTCGCTTAGGGCAGCTGGATCGAAGATGGCCCCTTTCCCCACAGCCACCTAGGGCTGTATCCTTTATTGCGGTCGCGAACTGTAGCTGCTGCAATCTCCCTGACATGATGGGAACGATGATGCTGCCGCACGGCTCCCACCTCCAGTGCATTGGCCAAGGCGTCCTTAAGCGTCTTGTGGTGCCCGAGCTTCACAGCAGCTCTGACTTCAAGGTCGCGGATGCCTTTGATAAATGTCTGCACCAGGTTCCCTTCAATGAGCGCAGGTACAGATCGATACGCTCTTCGAACTAGCTTCTCCACCTCAAGGGACCAGTGCTGCATATTTTCGTTGATGCGTTGCACGGGATCTCTAAGCTGCTCACGAAAGAGGTGTTCCAGGTGAGCATCGCCATATCTAGCCTTCAATGCCTCAAGGAACTGTTCATAAGTCACTTCCTTATCGAGAGCTTCTAGAACAGTTAAGGTCTAGTCGCGCAGGTCTAGTGTGAGAGCAGTCTTGGCCTGACTTATTCCAGCTGTTCGCTTTCATAACAGCCTCGATTGGAGGCGTAGCTGCTGAGGCTGGTCGCCGAACGACCTCGCGCGGTTGCCTGCGATTCGCTACGCAAGGGCGAAGGCAACTGTATTTCCTGCAGCGCCGAAGCTGTCGCAGAAATAACCACGGGTCAATATTTCTGTGTAAAAGTGAGGTTATGATTTTACAAAATATCATTACTCATGAACTATACATTTCAGCAAGGGCGGAAAGGCTACAGGGGCTTTTCCTGCACCCACTCCTTCCCCCACCGCCTGTACCGCACGCATAACCCCTCCCACCACTGTACGCAAGTACTGGTTTTCAGTGGTGATCATAATTGACTCACAAGCAACAGGACATTGACGTAAAAAAAATCTTGTGTATATCCAATCATTAGTTGATTGTTCTATTTTTATATTGTAGTTTGTTCTAAAAAAATATGAAATTTACAGAGCAACAGATCAATGAGTTGCTACATAATTTGCCGACCTTGGACAAAATATTTGAAGTCCATCGAAAGATTGGTGAAGGCACCTTCAGTTCCGTATACTTGGGCTCACTGCGGCGTCAAACGACACTTCCAGTCTCAGAGCGTCGCTGGTTTGCTATCAAGCATCTTGTACCCACGGCCCACCCTGCCCGTATTGAACATGAGTTGAAATGTCTGCAAGATATGGGGTATGTAGAATAATTTTTTACAAAAAAAGTTCTAATGTTTATTCAAAACCTAGTTTATTCTAATTTTCAATATTTTAAATGTTTTATTTTGCAGTGGAAAGAACAATGTAATTAGTGTGGAACTTTGTTTACGCCACTTTGATACAATAGTTTTTGTAATGCCTTATATACCTCACAGGAAGTTTTCAGTAAGTATGATGCCTTGATGAGTTTTATTTATTTATACTATTGTTTTAACTTAAAAAAATAGAGTATCGAGGGGGCTAATGCCTTAAGGCATTCCCTCCCAGTCAGTTACATTTTTTTTAATTGAAAAGAAGTTTTAACTGAATGGTAAGATTTTCCCCAATATTGTGAAATGTCCCATTTTACCATCATCATCATTACAGCCCTTCACAAGTCTACTGCTGAACATTGGCCTCCCCCAAGGAATGCCACAAAGCATGGTCCTGAGCCACTTGCATCCATCATCTTTCTGCATGTCTTACCAGGTTGTCACTCCATCTAGGGGGGGTCGCCCAATCAGGAAAAAATGGTTTTGACCGAGCCCCATAGTCAAAAACAGTTTTGATTAATGTTTTAGTCGAAAACGGTTTTGCCTGATTAAAACTCAGTCACAGGAGGTTAAGGTGCGGCTGGTGTGACACTTGGGCCACCTTAAAGCCGCGTATATTATAGTGATGTAAAATTTAATTTTAGAATTGACTTTTTTAATTTCAAAAAATAGAAGTCAAAAGTAGTTTTAACTAACATTCTTAGTCAATACCTCTTTTAACCAATAAAATTTGAACAAAATCACTATTACACAATATTTTTGCAGTTAAAAGAGGTTTTGAACAACATACACACCTTTGCCTGATTTTTGCAGTCAAAAATGGTTTTGATCAGCTAAGAGTTTTGACTGTAACAAATACAATATACAACAATAATTTTATTACTATCAGTTTATTACTAGAATTTATTGGAACTTCGGTGTTTGGCTACAGCCTGTAATACAGGCAGATAGACAAAGAAACTTCTTGTCAATTACAGGAATATTTTGGAGAAATGGACGCAAGCGAGCTGCGGCAATACATGCGCGCGCTGCTGGTAGCACTGCGACATGTGCACTCGTTTGGTGTCATCCACAGAGATGTGAAACCTAGCAATTTCCTATATGATAGGGAGAATAGGAGGTAAAGTGTGGCGTTCTGTTATGATATTCTTGAAGATCATTTCACATAGAAATAGAAACTTGTATTCAATATACCTAGATCTATACAAATAAATAAAATCAAGTGTCTGTCTTTCTGTCTGTTTTTTCTGGCTAATCTGTGAAGTGGTTGGACCGTTTCTGATGAGATTTTTACTGGCAGATATTTCTATTCCGCACAAAAAAAATTAAAACCCGTGAAGCCCAATCGATCGTAATAAATTCCACGCGAGTGAAGTCGCGGAGTACAGCTAGTTATAAATATTACTTATTAAAAATCACTCTTATGCTGAATTTACCACTGGTTCGGAAAATACCTCTATCCTGGGAAGAACCAGCAAGAAACCCAGTAGGATAATAATTTACAATTACTAAAGTTACACAAAAATTAACAACACAAAACAAATTAGAAATAACATGGTAGCGATCACCTCATTCCCAAGGGTTATTATCATCCATAAATTTCTTAATATTGTAATAACCCTTCTTATTCTTTCTTTAACAAAGTTATTAAACTTGATGGAAGTCAGATTTTGTATATTTTCTAAAAAAATTTGTAACAGTGTTTACATTGCTCCAAGAATGAATTATTGACTCCATGACTGTGGAGTCAAGTAACTGGTACTACTTGTGTAACTATTGAACGTGGTACAGCAATGTTGCAGCCATTTTATTAGTATAGTTGTAGCACGAAGAGGTTGACTCAATCGGAAAAGGACCACGCTCTGACAAAATACCAGCCTAACGCTTGCTGTGTTTTGTATAGTGAGTGTAAAGACCAGAGACCTTTTTTACTGGAAATGAGGCATCCCATCTTATTTCTCACGTTAAACGTAGATGCTTATGGGCCACAGCAACCACTTACTATCAGGACTGTGTGCTCGTTAGTCACCTTTTTACAAACAATTAAATAACATTTAAACAAATTATATAAATATAGACTAGTGTTACCATAAATATTATTGATAGGTATTTGCTGGTGGACTTCGGTTTAGCGCAACGAATATGCGTGGCGCCTGACGAGTCGCCCGTGCCCTTAAATACAAACAAGCGAGCGAGAGATGAAATGGAGGTGTGTAATTTGAGAAGTGTTACTTACTTTTATATTTCTATCCATCCATTCATCAAAGCCTTTAAAAGTCCACTGCTGAACATAGGTCTCCCCCATAGATTGCATCATGAGGAGATTTTTGCCATAGTTGCCACGCTTGGCAGGTGGATGGTGACCGCCGTTTTTATTATTTTGAGTTGTTATCATCAGAAAGACGCTGCTTGCCTCTTCTGCTTTAATTTCCCTCCGTCGCCTCTTACAACACCCATGGGAGGATGTTAGGTTGTGCATATTCTCACACCGCCATACATGGATTCATCATCATCATCATCACAGCCCTTCACAAGTCCACTGCTGAACATAGGCCTCCCCCAAGTAATGCCACAAAGCACGGTCCTGAGCCACCTGCATCCATCGACTTCCTGCATATCTTACCAGGTCGTCACTCCATCTAGTGGGGGGTCGCCCTACACTACGCCTACCGGTACGAGGCTGCCACTCGAGAACCTTTCTTCCCCATCGGTTATCGGTTCTTCGAGCTACATGGCCGGCCCATTGCCACTTCAGCTTACTAATCCGTTGGGCTATGTCGGTCAATCTGGTTTTACTGCGGATATCCTCATTTCTGAGTCTATCACGCAGAGAAACTCCGAGCATAGCCCTCTCCATAGCTCGCTGAGCGACCTTGAGCGTCCTCATACGGCCAGCAGTGAAGGACCACGTCTCTGATCCGTAAGTCATCACTGGCAACACGCACTGGTTGTACACTTTAGTTTTCAGAGATTGAGGTATACCTGACGAGAAGATATGTCGTAATTTCCCGAACGCTGCCCAGCCGAGTTGAATCCGTCGATTGACCTCTCGGTCGAAGTTGGACTTACCTAGTCGGAATATTTGTCCCAGGTAAACGTACTCGTCAACAACTTCGAGCATAGTGCTCCCAACAACTACCGGCATAGGTGTGACATGGACATTAAACATAATCTTTGTTTTGTCCATGTTCATCTTAAGACCTATCCGTTGGGAGGCACTATTGAGGTCATTGAGCATAGTGCTTAAGTCCTCCAGCGATTCTGCCATAAGGACTATATCGTCGGCAAATCGAAGGTGAGTGATGTACTCGCCATTGATGTTAATACCGTATCCTTTCCAGTCCAGTAGCTTGAAAACGTCTTCCAAAGCAGCGGTGAAGAGTTTCGGGGATATAACGTCACCCTGTCTTACACCTCTCTGCAGTTGGATAGGTTTCGAGCTCTGGTTCTGTACTCGGATAGCCATCGTAGCCCTACTTTACAAACACTTCAGCACTTCGATATACCGACAGTCAACTTGGCACCGCTGAAGGGACTGCAGCACCGCCCAAATTTCGACGGAATCAAAGGCTTTCTCATAGTCCACATACGCCAGGCAAAGTGGCAAATTGTACTCTTCAGTCTTCTGTACAATCTGCCGCAGGGTATGTATGTGGTCTATGGTACTGAAGCCTTTTCGGAAACCGGCTTGTTCGGGAGGCTGGAAGTCGTCGAGTCTGCGTGCGAGACGATTCGTAATGACTCTCGAAAACAGCACGCAGACGCGGCTCAGAAGGGAAATCGGTCTGTAGTTCTTCAAGAGAGCATTGTCGCCTTTCTTAAAGAACAAGACCACCGCACTTCTGCTCCACGCCTCCGGAGTAGTGCCACCATGGAGGACGGAATTGAAGAGCTTCTGAAGGACTTCAAGTACCGGTGTTACATGGATTACTTTAATATTTTACATTAATTATTTTTTATAGCATCATTCAATGAATTGGGGGTATGTATGTAGAGTTTCCATTGTAATTTTTCCGAGGATGACGTAAAAATACTACATAACATTGTAAAACACAACCATATTAGGTAATGGGTCTGTTACTCCGTATTAGTAGTATAGGTGTAACACGAATGGGTTAAAAAATAAAGAATAGCAGCTTAACGCTGCTGTGTTTCGTATGGTGAGTGTAGAGAACCGGAGACCCTTTTTACTGGAAACGAGGCATTCCATCTTAGTCCTCACGGATGACAACGCATCTGCATTTTGATTCGTAATCGAGGATAGATGTAGATGTCTATGAGCCACAGCAACCACTTACCATCAGCTGGACTGTGTGCTCGTTTGTCAACCTTCTTTTATAAAAAAAGTATGATTATAAACTGTAAGGCATTATCTTACTCCTCAGAGCTTACAACGCATCTTTAGTATTCTTTGGTGCTACTGTAAATTCATTTGTTAATTCAATTTTAATAAGTTAGAGAAATAAATGTAAATAATATATTTTTTATTATTAAATATTCTCACACTTGTTACTTAGCTACATTTGTTTCCTATGTTCACTTTTCAGGATGACTCATCGCCAGGTGCAAAGAGAATGGCACTAGATCTTACCGTGTTTCCAAAAAAGATGGATGTTAGCACCCCAATTCCTAAAAGATTAGCATGTCCACCAAAAGTACAAATTCCGAAGACAATGGCTATCAAGGTTGGTTCTTTTCCTCAACATTAACCGGCAAAATGTTTAAAAAGATATATTATTTATACTAATAAATATAATTAAAGTGTCTGTTTGTCATGTCAAAATGACAGTGACTATTTACTAAATCCATACCTATGAATATGTACATAATTAAAAAAAAACATTTGTATATCTAACTGTCAGACAGGTTTGTTTTGGCCAATTTTCGAAATGGCTGGACCGATTTTAGCTGGAGAGTTTTTTATATTTAGTAGTTATTAGGAAGATGCTGCTGCCCTCATGACTTGTTCTCTCCGTCGCCTATTATGAGCTTGCGACACCTACGGGATGATATGGAGTATTAGATATTCTTACACCGCCACTACGTGGTAAATGAAATTCGACCGTAATTCATAAAATTTTTAAGTTTGTATTTTAAGTATATGTTTGTATATTAAATATGTGTATATAAGTCATTTCACGTTCAACTTAAAACATATCTCATACACAAAATATAAAATAAAAGCTTTTTTGCCTTGACATACAATCCAAATACATAAGAAACTATTGAAATCACACAAAATTTAGTCGTAATTATTTGTACTCTGTGCGACAGTTTGACCACACTCTATTGTGTTTGACATTGTCAGCATGATAGTTAAAAATAAATATTTTTTTTGTTTAATTTAATACATTAATTTGTAACATATGTTATATTTAAATTTTAGGTTTCTGCATTCTGACATTTGTGCAAGAGTGCAATGGATTCCAGCACACTTTGGTTTATTGGGTAACGACGAGGCAGATAGATTAGCAGATTCTGCTTGTAAAAATGGTGTAGAGTATAATATTCACCCTTGCTACTCAGAAGTACTACCAAAATTTAAAATTTAAAATTATAGATACGACGTTAAATGGAATATTTAATTAGTATTTAAAATAAGAACAGGTCACATTCCATCAAAAAAATTTCTTAAAGAACTGATTCACCTAATTGTGAAACTTTTGAAGTAATAGACTTATATCATTTTTAATGGAATGTGAGCGGAACTGAGGGGCAAGGGAATTATTTGTAAGGACAAGGACGAGATAAATGTGTACAATATAGGTCTTCCTACATGCTCCCACACGGATATTGCATTAAGTATGTGCAGATTAATAACAAATGTATAGATTTATAGTTAGTTTTAATGGGATTGACATGTTAACGAACAAAAATCCTTAAATAAAACAAGAATAAAAAAAATCTCACACTACTCCGTGCGCGCAATATGCTTAAAAAAAGCTTACAAAGTTTTTTCTTCATGTATAAATAACATTATCCTTAAGCGACGTATAAGTATCCCTGCTAAAACAGCTTTCGCAGGACGTCAGTATAATTCAATCAGTTGTCGTTTATACAATAAGATTAATAAGTCGTTAAATATATACAAAATCAACAAACATGAATTAAAATCTAAAATATCAATTTGGTTAAAGTCTCTCACATACGAAGATACGGAAAATCTCACACACACACACACACACACACACACACACACACACACCGCACGCACGCACGCACGCACGCACGCACGCACGCACGCATGCACGCACGCACGCACGCACGCACGCACGCACGCACGCACACACACACACACACACACACACACACACACACACACTCGCACGCACACACGCACGCGTGTATTTTTTTTCTTGTGTATTTCATATTTGTATAATATATATATTTTGTAAACTTGATAGTAAACTGTTATCTTTATCAGTTAAAATTATTGAATACTGCTCTGCACTTAAATCCTTGTACTATGTTTTGGGAGAAGACCCTGACATTTAAGATACAGGCTTTGCCTAGTTTAGATGTCAGTAGCTTCATATAAATTGTAGAAGTACTTAACTGTAAGCTAATTTTGTTATACTGTTGTTATCGAGTGTACTTTAACTTAAAGATGCAATAAAGATTATTATTATTATTGTAAATTATTAATTTCTTGAGTTTCGGGTTTGGTCTTGTTGGAATTATCTTTATTGTCTCGTGCGTAGTGGTGGCGGTGTGCACTATGTAATATCGTTTTTTGGGTGTTGTAGGAGGTGGTAGAGAGGAACAAATCAGGAGATGGGCACCAGCGTCTTCCTAAACATAATTAAAAGAATAAAAAATTCAAAAACTGTGGTTACTAATCCGCTTGGCAAGTACGGTGACTATAGTGAATATGAATTTTTTGAGGTCTTTTGTTGAAACACTTAGTTGTAGCAGGAATCAGTGGTTTTTTATTAAAGAAAACTACTTCTTCTAATTTAATTATTTATTAAACGAGATAAGAATAACTAAATTGACATTTTGCTATCTTTTTTTTTTTCATAATAATAAGACTTAGGTTACCATTTATGGACTTTGATAGTAGTTAATAAATGGTTATCAGTGTAGTGACGGTGTCAGAATATCCACTAGCCCATATCGTCTCGTGGGTGTCGTAAGAGACGTTAGAGGGAAACTGATACAGGAGTTTGGCAGCAGTATCTTCCTGATAACATGTCCAGTAGTGAACTTTTAAACGCTGTAATGATGAATTATTGCCTCTGTGTCTCGGAACCTGTGTGGTGTAGTTGAGATGTGTGTATGTGCAGGAGGTCCCGGGTGTGGTTGCGGGTGCGAGTGCGTGCCCATGCCGCGGCGCGCCGGGCGTGTGTTGGGCGCGCGGCTGCGCGGTATGGGCGGCAGCTCGCGCGCCGCGCGCCGGCACGCAGGGCTTCCGGCCGCCCGAGGTGCTGCTCAAGTGGACGCGCCAGAGCGCCGCCGTGGACCTGTGGGCCGCCGGCGTCGTGCTTGCCACCGTGCTGGCCAACAGGTGAGCAGCGCACCACAGCACCAGAACCGCGACCGGCACGCAGGGCTTCCGGCCGCCCGATGTGCTGCTCAAGTGGACGCGCCAGAGCGCCGCCGTCAACCTGTGGGCCGCCGGCGTCGTGCTCGCCACCGTGCTGGCCAACAGGTGAGCAGTGCACCACAGCACCAGCACAGCGCCCGGCACGCATGGATCCGGCCGCCCGAAGTGCTGCTCAAGTGGACGCGCCAGAGCGCCACCGTCGACCTGTGGGCCGCCGGCGTCGTGCTCGCCACCGTGCTGGCCAACAGGTGAGCAGCGCACCACAGCACCAGCACCGCGCCCGGCACGCAGGGCTTCCGGCCGCCCGAGGTGCTGCTCAAGTGGACGCGCCAGAGCGACGCCGGCGGCCCACAGGTCGGTCCGGTTGTCTGATGGTAAAGTAAAAAATGACTTGAAATAAGAATTATATGTGTTTTATATCGAATAAAAAAATATTCTATTTTATTCTATTCTATGGTGGAAAGAAGAGGGAGGAATTAAAAGCAATTAAATATATAAATAAAGGTGTTTCGTGGGTTCATGACAGGTACCCATTCTTCCGCGCGGCGGACGACTATTCGGCTCTGGCAGAGGTAGCTGACTTGCTGGGTACCGACGCCGTACAGCGCACTGCCGAAGCACTGGGTAAGTTAACATCTTCCTTTTCATTCGTATAAACTCCAATCCTTCAAACTAATTCAATACAAGACATTCTTTAAATAATTATTATAATAAGTTTTTTTACTTAGCAGAGCCATGCTGTAGCTATCTATATATTATTATGGTTGTAGCACGAATGGGTCGGCTCTACCGGGGATGGACCACGCTCTTACAGAGTACCAGCATAAATAGCAGCTTAATGCTGCTGCTTATCGTGAGTACAGAGATCTCAATTATCATAGAAGGCCACATGTTTGCATTTTGATTCTTAATCGAGGATTCCACAGCACCCATTTACCATCAGATGGCGTGTGTACTTTTTTGTCACCCTTATTCTATAAAAAAGATGATTCGTTTACATAAACTATTATTTGTAATATTATGATAACAATTTAACACATAATATAATAACCATGATAAATAAATTATAATTTCATAAATAATATAGTTAAATAAAATTTTGTAGTTTAATTTGTCACTTGTAAGTTTCGTAAAAGGCGACTTTTTAATCCGCGACGTTTAGGTGTTCTATAGCATCAATGGTCATGGGGTGGGGGGGCTTTGGTGTATGATGTCCCGATGTCATAATTAGCCCGGCTACCTGAAAGGAAAGCTATAAAATTAACAAATGAAAAAATTAAAGTTAACGAAAACGTAACTCGTTAATATTTATTAATATTTAGTATCCAACCAGTCAGTTGCCTGTGTGTTATGAAAGAATTTCCGACACATTTATTAGGAAGACTCTGTTGCCCATTTTTTATTTGTTTATCTTTGTTGTATCTTAAGACACCCTCGGGATGATTTGTGCTAGTGGAATACTCTTACAGCGCTATTGACGCGGTAAAGCGTGAAATTATTAGCCCTCATTTGGCGACGTTGCCGTGTAGTTGTCACAAGTTGAGTGAGGCCACGGTGAGGTGCGTGTCTAGTGGGCTAGTTGTGTAGTTGTGAGGTGTGAAGGGCGACGCGTGGTGACGTCAACGCGACGAGCCGGCCTCTGCTTGCGCAAGCTGAGCGCGCGCTTGCGGCGCGTGCCCCCCGCGCCCCCCGTGTCGGCCGCACCCCGCGCGGGTACTTGCGCCGGCTGCCAGCTCGCGCGCGATCTCTGCCTCTGTCCAGACGAAAACGTGCCGGTACGTACGCATGCGTTTGACATTTCTTATTTATATCAGTATGTGACCGAAGACTTCTTGTATGTTATACTACTAGACCGGCAAATCGGAACAAAAACTATGTCACATATGATTGCGCGGCCCTGGCCTCCAGTCGTAGTTTCACTTACAACACTTACTGTTTTTAGGCAAATACGAAATAAATTTACGTTCTTAACTGATATAAAATTCAAATCACGTTTACAAATTACGCACTTAAAGTGACATCATTTTCATATTCACATTATACAAAATCAGTGTTAGATTGTCGAAAACAACGTTAGTGGTTTACAGAATAAAGAACTAATGTTCTTGACCGCTCGAAGTCTCTAAAGTAGTTATGGAGAATTGACCGTAACTTAGTGCGCAATATACAGGTTGTTAGTGTAAACACCGTTGTCCTTGAAACCAGTGGTTTGGTTTCACTTATAGAAAGTAATTTCAATGAAAAATAACAACATTTTTTTTTAGTCAAATCTCAATTTTTTCTTACAATTATTTCACCCTAGGCAAGTAGGGATATACCTACAGAATTCACAACAAAAAACTCAACATATCGTAGGTAGCGGCAGCGATTCGCGGTCAAGGCCAATGTCACTGTGTCAGTGTGTCAGTCCTTCGCTGCGTCGGTACGGAATGTACGTGTTAATTTGATTTAAAACCGCGCCGCGCAGTGCCGACATTCTACGTCGCTTTAGGTTGTAGTTTTGGTGCGAGTGTATTTAATTTGTAATTATGTCCTACATAAACGTGCAGTGGAAATGTGCCTCTTCGTTCACTGAGAAACCTCTACTACCAACATGACGGTGACCCTGCACATTTTCAGCTGCAAATCAGGGCTATGCTGGTTGAGGAGTTTCCTGGGCGATGAACCGACCTTACCCCGCTGGATTTTTATCTTTGGGGAGAAGTAAAGCGCCGAGTGTATGCAACTAAGTTCCGTAATACGTCCGAACTCAAAAGGCGAGTTCTTAGTGTATTTAGAAAAATGACACTGTTGTGCTTCTAGATTTTACGATTAATGTAAAAGCTGATCAAAATGGAATTCATTTACGAGGATTTTATTTAATAGGTAAGTGTAAATAACCAATCAATCAGGCTACACATCAAGCGGTACAAATCTTTTGTCTTGGCCTCTCTTTGTATGATCTTTCCGTACAATGAACAGTCAGCTTATGCTTCAAATGCCCTTTGCGTTCCAGGGCCGCGGTACGGTATACGGTAAATACGCCAAAAATCCTACCTAATGATTTACTATTTACTATTATTAATGTTTAATTTTCTTTGTTGTTAAATCTAACACATTAATTTGGACTCGTCACGCAACACAAAGGGTAGGAATTTTTATCTGCCCTAAGCAAGTGTGAAAGTATGAAGGAAGTTTCATGATAGGTTGTGTGTACCATTGTGTTTATATTGAAATGTTGTGTAGGTAGCAAGGGCGGGCGGTGATCTTTACAGTGATTACGTCACTCGAGCGCATAGGGTATCCATGAATTTACGGACTGTGTCGGACAGAAACTTTTTTAATTTTGTAAAAGAAAATAGCGTTTTTTTTTAAAAATCGGATAAATATTTTTATATTAAAGCCAACCACCTATGGTTTCAGTGACAACGGTGTTTACACTTACACACTGTATATTAGTACTAGGGATTATCGATGTTGCAGAAATATCGATAATAACATCGATGTTGGCATCGTAGCTCAACATCGATATTCGATGTCCTACTTAAAACAATCGATGTTAAACATTATCGATGTTTTTTGCACATGTATTCAATAGGTTAGAATTCGATGAATAAAAAAATATACATGTTGTTTATGGTTTATTATTAATGAAATAAAAGAAATTAATAAACAATGTACCTAGTATGAAACAGTAATTTAAAAAAATGGAAGAAATTAACAAAAATCCAGTTCATTTGTAATACAGTATCATGTTTTTGCCGATTGATATAATAATTTTGACAAAGAAGTACCTTTCAATCTGTTTCTCTCTTGATAATAACCAGCTTTGGATAATAACCTTCCAATAATCGATTTTAGGCCCATTATCATCCATCTTTCGGTGTTGTGACATGTGGCAACATCGATGTTAAAACATCTATGTTATGTTTTAATTTTTAACATCGATGATCATCGAACATCCCTAATTAATACTTTAGTGTCAGTCTAGTAGTATACATATAAATCCCCGTATAAGAGTGAATTACGATAACTTGACCGCTGGCGGATGTTTTGTCATTTAAATGATAGTTTAAAGATTTTCATACGTAAAAGTGATGCAATCTTGTGTATTACTATATATAAACCTAAATTTATCTTGTCCGCATAAGCGTATTAAGAACTTGATACGACCATCGTCGATGTCCCCTGAGTTAAACTGTTGTCACAATCTCTTACAAACTTCTCAATGTGACGCATCAGCTTATTATTGTGAAAATGTTCTATAGGATAATTTCTTATTACTTGACACTGGCAATAGCATTATAGTACGAGTACATAACAAAATGAAAAATGTATGAGTGGCTATTAAAATCACTCTATGACGAATATTATGATAATACATTTCGACTAATTTAAAATACAAGCAAAAGTAATTACTAAAAAAAAAATTATTTCTTATTCATGTACTTGGTAGTTCTGCTATAAGCCATTTAAAAGTTACAGACACTGTAGAGTCCGTCAACTTGCACTGGGGTAGTACGGCTGCAACTTTTCCCTCGAAAATGTATTTTTTAACCAATTTGAATTCACGTGTCATCGCATCTATATTTTACTAACAAGACAAAAATTGAGTAATAAAATGGGATCTCGGATGGACAGGCGAGCTCATTCGATCCCGACTTGGTGGTGGCCGGGTTCCCGGACAGTGCGTTCGCACTGGCAGCGCGCCTGCTCGAGCCCAATCCCAGCCTCCGTATCACTGCCGACGAAGCTTTGAAACACCCTTTCTTGGCAACTGAAGACTGAACTTTCCATATCATTTTTAAGGAATAAATTTAAAAAAAAAACGTGTGCAGTTAACACGCAGTATAAGTGAAACCTTCAGTAATCTAAACTTCGAGAGAATGAGACGAATGCAGTCAGGTAATTGTAGGGTTTATTTATGATAATATTGTTACCAAGTTTAAAAATATATTTTACATTTTATTCTACAAAGCCACGTTTTCTATTTCATCATAGTAAATAGGTATTTAAATATTTTCGAATCAACAAATTTCGTCCTTTATCCTTACTGCTCATAATTGGAAACATTGTGTACTGTATTCTATCTCATTCTCTCGCAGGCTAAATCCTATAGATCATATAGACATATATGTTTGTCTCTTTTTGAGTTTCAAATCACAGCGATTCTAAAGAAGTTTTCACTTCAAAAAGGCACGTCGTATGAGGATTAATAGTTTTAACGCTCCCCAGATGTCGCTAGTTGTGGGACTGAGGTGAACTTATTTGTAACGCAGATGGTTACGTAGTGTCATCATCACTGGAAAGTTGCGATTTATTTATAAGTTTTTCGGTTTTTAGTGCATTTATATTGAATTATTAATATTTACCGTCTGGAAAATATAGGGTGTAACATGTGAACGGAAAGAAGCCTGTAGCACTGATATTTTACAAAAAATAAAAATAAAAAGCGGTTTAGGTGCGACCCGAAAGTCCACACGACTAACTTCCCAGTGGAAAGAATAAAAAATGTTGAATGTTAATATTTTATACAATTTTTCATTCGGCACAAAAACTACGAAAATTTAATAAGGTATAAGTTACATAATTATGCGTTAAATGAAACTGGTCCCATGTCAATATCGTTCTTCGTTCTCGAGATACACGAGGCGAAAATTGAATCTAAACATACATACATACATACGTACGTACATGTGCACACACGGACATCCTCTTAAAAGCCATACTATTCGACTCTAAAGACCTTGAAATGTGGAGATATGTTAAAATTTCCAATTTGCAAAATCAATAACTTCTCACTGGGAAGTTAAAATTTTTGAATTAAATAAATAAATTAAAATCTATCAAAATTCAAATCATATCAAACCCTACTTTACGAACGGCAATAAAACAATGAATTTAGTAGGCGCCTTTAACCTTGTCACTTCGCAGGGTCACAGGCTTAAGGGCAAAGGGCGAAGTCATTGTTCAAAAAAATTTTTCAAACGTTTAATATAAAATTTATGTTTTTATTTTTTGTAAAATATTAGTACCATAGGCTTCTACTCCGTTCAAATGTTACACCCTATTTTTTTCCAGTTGGTTAAAAAGGTCAAGGTTATTTTAATTCTTCTATTGAGGAATGTATGTAGATTGGTTTATACATTTCTGATTTAATTAATATGAAATATAACTTATAAGGAAACATCAATCATCATGTATTATCTATTATCTTTTTTTCTAACAAATCAACTTCCCCCACTACGCCAAATATTTCACCTCATATCTAAGTAGCGCCGCTCTGATGGTGAAACTCTGTTGACACTTGCGTTTATCGCCTTTTAGTTTATGACAAGTTAACGTTTTGTTAATTGTCTATGGTATAGTAAACTATCAGATTTAAGGTCAATAAATTTGTACATATATTTGATATAAACAAACTTGTCATATGTATTTTAATGTTATCTTTGTTTCATTTTAGAATCGTCTGAAAGCACAAGCTCATATTGAGTTGTACTGTGGAATTGTACTCACACACTACTATAATTTAATATTTAATTCAAGTCGGTTATAAAATGTTACTATAAACTATTTAAATAATGAAATTTGTTTCCTAATTGTATATCGTTTAAAATAAAATAAAACTGAAGAAGATTTTTTGCAGTTGTATGTGTATTCCGTGAGGTATTATTAGGCATGGGTAATACCACTCTTACCTTATATTAAATCGTATCAATGTATTGCATTTGAATATCATATTGATTCTATATATTTCAATATCTATGTATCGGTTGATATCTACGGGATTCTGTAACTCTGTAATAACTTCCTTACAGAGTATATTATATTGTATATACTCTGTACAGATATATTGTAACGATGTATAGATATTGTATCTTTAAACGTATTGCATCGCCCAGTCACAGTCTTACTGCTACTAATAGTCGGTCATCGAGGTCGCCTAGACTCTAGACGAAGCAATGCGGGTCACGCAAACAAATTAAAAATTCAAATTCTTTATTTGCTAGTAAACAGGTACAAAAATATTGGTTCACACTACATCTGCAGTAAAAAACTGGCTCCTATAACTTATTTTTATTATTTCTGAACACTAATTGTCTGATTAACTTATTATATAACGTGAAATTAAATAAAATCATTTTTTATTACTTCCCATTCTGTCAACCCCGGCAAAAGCAATTTATTGTTTTTGTCGGCCAACATCAAACACGATGACTGACTCTATGTTCTTTTTAGGCTGTGGCCCAGTACTATCTAATATTAAATTTCATATATATATATATATATATATATATATATATATATATATATATATTATGTACATAATATGTTTTATTCGCATATGAACCACTACTACCGTATATTCGGCAACATTACGAGTCCTTTCTGTAATTTACCTACGTATCATGTTCGAGGGACAAAAGTATTGCTTGTTTTTTGCCCTATCGCTTGGTGCTATTAATATGGAGTGGCCGAGGTCTGGCTGTGAAAGTCTCTTTTGAGATACAAGGTTTTACTCGCAGATATAATTAATGAGATGTTTACTATTTTAGAATGTAATGGCCACACTTGTGTACATGGTGTTAGAGTTTCCATACGGGTGTTTGATTTACAGCTTAATGTAGTTTTGAGTTCAGAAGTGATTTAATTTTTAATTTAAATAAGTATGAACGATTGTCGTCCCAGAACTTGGGCCTATATACTTTAATGTACAATGAAATTTGTGAATTTGTTTTATTTGTCCAAACATCGAATGGGACAGCATTATTGTATTTAGATGAAATATTCGTTACTGTTAAACGTTACAAAGATCCAACACTAGCCGACTCAACTCCAGTTTTTGACAAAGAGGATCTATGTATACTATTAGATGAGCTCAGAGGCCTTGATACATTGTGCACTACGGTCAATTCTCCTTAACTCCTTTAGTCAACTACGAGCGGTCGAGAAGACTAGTTCTTTCTTTTGTAAACCGCGAACGTTGTTTTCGACGATGTAACACTGATTTTTATAATGGGACTAAGAAAACGCTGTCAGTATTTATGTGCTCATTTTGTCAACGAGATTTGAAGTTTAATTCGGATAACTAGGTAACTTTATTTCGTATTTGCAGAATAACAAACTGTTGTAAATGAAAATTCAACTGCGTGGCATATTTACCGTGTGTAACCCGCCCGCGCGGTTCACAGCTGCTACACTATTTTTGTTCTACATTGTCTGTCTAATGGTATACATAGAAGACTTTGATTTTCAATGGGGTGATCCGTGTTTTGAGTCAATGAGCCGTCAGGTCGGCGACGTAAGTGTCATGATAAAGCCATTGAAGTAATATGTATAACATACTAGAAAAGACTTCGCGAATAAAATGTATGCGGCATTGCGAGTAGCGCGGAAGCAGGCTCGGATTACCCGTTTTACGGCACAGACTAAGTTTGAGCCCATGAACTCTAACGTGTATTGCAAACGACCAAATCTTGTCGTCTCTTGCAGTACGTCGCACATATTACTTCAATGTATAGAGATCACTTTTAAAGTCTTGATTTGTGTCGTGTTGGTGTTGAATCGTTATAGTTTGTGGTGACTTAAACTTGTCCTACGTAGTTATTGTAGTGAGAGTAATTTAATTAATAGAATAAAGCGTTACTTTGCGAATATCAATTTTATTAAAGATTTTAAAATTTACTAGCTAAGATCCGCATATTTAAATGAAATGATGTATCTTACGTAGTTTGTAAAGCACTCAGTTGCGTCACTACACTAGGAAAGATCACATTCGTAACTCGAGACATGTTTCGCCTCTACACGAAGCATGAAGTAGACTGCGGTGGCTTACTGCTAAGCTTAAATTGTTTTTAAAATCTTTATTTTATTTATTTGTTTATTGTGTTATGTTATATCCGCACGCACAGTTTTCCTTTTACTCATTATTTTTAGTTCGCTTACAATGATGCTCTGCGTTTTCACTCAACAGATACGCTCAATGTTACTACAATAAATGTCAATTTATTATATACGTATATATTAATTTAAAGTACGAACAGTAGTTGGTAGTATCAAAACATTGTATACAAAACTTACACTTTATTATCTGTTGTCATTCTGTAAGTCGCTATGCATTTATTCGTAGTTGAATCTAATTTTATTTTAATTTTAAATAACACCACATTTGTATGTGTTTTATGTTTACTATTGAGGTCATTGAGCATAGTGCTTAGGTCCTCCAGCAATTCTGCCATAAGGAATATATCGTCTAGATGTTAATACCGTATCCTTTCCAGTCCAGTGTAGCTTAAAAACGTCTTCCAATGCAGCGGTTAGCGATTCCTACACCTCTCTGCATTTGGATAGGTTTCATACTCTGGTTTTGTACACAGAGTCATATAACCCCATTCATATTTTAATATAAATTCAATAAAGGAAGGGACCGTGCCAACCTGAGGGATATCTAAGTGCGCACATGTTCCTTTTTATTAATACTTTAATATTGTTACGAGCTTGAGGTTCGTGACAATAAAAATTGCCGATAGAATTACCTAAATTAACACTTTAATTTTCTTTATACTAATTAAAACTTAAAACACCATTAATTAATTACACTGATTCACTTTATTTCGCTCCGAAGCTTCGCTTGTCTCGCCGAATTCAATACTTCACCGATCGCATCTTGCAGCGCCTATAAATACAAATTAGCACTGAAATATCCAGAATATTCAAGTAAACACGCGCAAGGTAGCGAGAGTTCGAGTTTCAACTTCTAGAAGTTTAGTTCTTCGGTTCGAGACTAG